ACACAGATTTGTTACATTACAGCACCAGCACACTGGACTCCACATGATAGATACTGGATCATTACTGTATATAATACCTGCCATGAGAAGAGGTTTGGAAATGGTTAAACAAAACATCAACACTGATCTACGATTCTGACACCCCTCCATTCAGCGCCTCTTCTGTCACTAAATTACTGCTGTGAAGCTAAAAAAGTTACCAGCACAAACATTAGCAAACAGGACCAAACAATCCTGACCTACAGCTTCAGTGAAACAGCAGAAGTAAGGTGATGTAACCCACCTGTCCAGCAGGAGCACCCTCCCCATCCCCCTTCATGCCTTTCAGCGCTTCATGACGCTGAAGTCAGATTCTTTTTCACCAGTTTCTTGTTTGAAGTTTCCTGTTCCACCTTAAATGGTGCAGCAGTTACATTTAGGTGCCTCAGACGCCAGAATGGAACTGCTGCGTGATTTAAGGTGGAACGAGAAAATGCAAGTAGGAAACCAACTTCAGCTTCATGAACTTGCGGTGGTCTTTCCACCATTGAAACACCTCACTGTTAACTCTAGGAGGTCTCTTTGCTGAAACACCCTTGTCTGATCTAAGAACTTCTTTCTCAGACTGTGTTCTTCAGATTTTCTCCTCTTTGGCTGTTGATACTGCATAGAGTTCAGCACGTAGCCCCTCCCCTTCCTCCTATTCTGTGCAGGAGCACAGACACCCTTTGTGGCTGAATGGCTGGAGCAGTGTTGTGTAACTCGTCCTGATCCACTTTGTTTATTTCACATTTACAGAGCCAGGGCTGTTGACCAACACTATTTTTTCCAGTGCGCACACAGAATGGAGAGCTAGTGGACCATGAGGAGGTCCATGGTTTTGGACTGAAATTGTATACTGTGCCTTTAATGTACTGATATTATTTGTTAAAATATTATGGGAATGTTATTAAAATATTATTATGTCCAGCTAATTAGTCTCAGAAGTTGGTTGTATTTTCTGCTTCTCATAATTCAAGTAATTTCAAACACGTTCAGTGATGTTGAGGTCTGGACTCTGGGGTGGTCAGTCCATTGTTCTGAGAACACCAGCAGATTCTTTGATTGATTTGCATTTTTTACTGTTTCTTCGTCTCAGTAACAGCTTCTGGACAGCTACACATCCTTTCAGACCCAAAGCGCTGAGTCGTCTTCTCACAGTGGAAGGATGAACAGAAACACCTGTGGATGTTTTCAGATCTGATCAGCTTGATTTTCTCCTGAAAAATGCACTTCATGGCTGTTTTGAGTGGTTATCATCTAAATGAAGAGGGTCTCTGGCTTTATGCACAGTACTGTACATGTACAATCCATTCAGGTCTTCTCACTGCTGAAATAGGTGATTAGTGGGATTCAGAGGCTCCTAAATATATGATTAAAAAACCTCAGATTAACTCCACTTGAGGAGCTTCACAGTGATAGACGTGTTCAAAGGTGGGTCAGTGGGAGATCTGAGGACACTGAAATACTCTCTGCACTGACAGAGAACAGACTGTCAGGATGATGGAGATGGAGAGAGAAATGACCGTAGTTCTTTAGGAGGTCCCTAAACCCAAAGTGAGGAGCTGCTGAGTCTCACAGAGAGACGCAGGAGGAGATCCAGAACTCTATTAGACTCATATTAGCAACACTACTTTTACTCTGAAAGGCACTGCAGCTCGTTACAGGTAAATGTGTAATCAGAGTGACAGATACAGTGCATCACTCTCTCATTCTCAAATATGAGCAGTGATTAAAAAACCTGCTAAAATGTTCTGAGAATATTATTACATTATTAGAACGTGTAGGTAACGTTAGGCAAAGTTGTGGGAACGTTCCCTGCTAACTGGGCAATATGGACCTCAACACACCAGAAGAACTTAGAAGAGCTGCTGTGGTGGGCCGCCTTACTCTGAACCACAAACCCCATGAGCTCAGACTAGACCTGTACTGAGGTCATTACAGGTTTAACAGTAAACAAAATAAAGCAGCTGTGCTGTGGATTTCTTACAAGACTGTTTATCCAAACCAGTGTGAATGAACTGAATGAACTGATGTGAACAGCAGCACCGTGTTCTGTTAAACACCTGTCTGAATGTTTATAATGCTGTTTATTTTAAAAAGCAGTGAATGCACTTCATTTTTTAATATTTAATATTTCTATGGAAAATATCTGCTGCACAGTTTACAGATAATTCAGTATCTGTATTCTGTTACGCCTCTTCTTCACCTCTTGTTAGTTCTAAGGAGGAAATGCAGCTGTGCTGCCACCTTGTGGACAGAGAAAACAACAGCAGCAGTGAATGTTTAATGGAAAGTTATTTTCAGGACAATTCCAGGAGAATAAGAAACTTTGAATCTACAATATATCAACCAGAGTTAAATCAGCTGAAAATGTCTGTTTACAGACACTCAGAGCTCGTGTTTTTACTGACCGCATATGAAGAGCCGGTGGACGCTGCAGAGCTTGGGTGCCTACAAATCTTATATTAGTTCTGTTTCTAATCCCATCATTTTTCGAATGTTTCAGGGAAACATCAAGAGCATATAAACCAGATCTAATCATGTCATTTTCTCTTCCACTCTTACAAGAATACAAAACAGAGAAATGTTTTGTTTTATTTTGTGTTTGACAGCTATCTGATGATGTCCTGTTTTACTCTGACACTGCATATTCACTGACATACATCACACAAAACAGGTTTGTTTGTTTGTTTGTTTGTTTGTTTGTTTGAGGCTATAATGTAGCGGTAATCCAGTCTGTGTGGAGGTAGTTGAAGTTGATTGCAGCTTTTGGTTATACAGCGTTCAGTTTACTGCTTATGATTATATTTATTATAGTTATGAACTATTTGAGTGAAACACTGTAACAAATAAAGCTGCCAAAAAGTGAGGAGCCTTAGAAAATCCAAAATTTCTGAAAATTTCTTCTTGTAAACTTTGTGTTTAAACTGTGTCTCTGAAATGGTTTAAATATGTATTTTATTCTGTATCAGTCTACAATCAAATGACCAACAGTCTCTGTCTCTGACCATTCCAGCGTTGGACACTCTGTAGATTTTATGAAACAGCTCCATTTCACAGTGTTCCTCACTGAGAGTCTCTCAGAGTCGGCAGTCACAGTATAGATTTTTATTTCCCTCATATTAATTTACACAACAAGTTTAACACAGTTTCATTTTCATCTTCTCTACAGTCTCCGAACAGAATAACTCCATGATAATTATGATCAATTATCCTCCAATATATTAAAATCAGTGTCTACATTAAACACATTAGCTGAGTGTGAATGAACACTTGGGGCTCTGAGCTCAGTCGGTAAAGGGGATGAAATCCTACACAATATGTGTGATATTTAACTCCTCTCTGTCAGAGTGTAGTGATGATATGAGTGACTGAAGAAAAGCAGCACCGGATATGGAGTTTCATTATTAATGTGCTAATCAGAGAAAACACAGAGCAGAAAGGGTTAACTGCTCATTATAATATTCTGCAGCTTCATTTATATTCAAGTAGTTATGTGAATCTTGAAAAGAAACAAATACATAATTCATACAGCATAACTAAGTGATTTGTTTGTGGGGGAGGTGCTAATAAATATATCAGCTAATAGAACTTCCAGTCACTTGTTTTCCTCTATTTCTGATTATTCCTGTGTGCACACTGTTGAGTGGGTTCTTGTGCATTAATAGAGTACTAAATTTGTAAGGGGGGTCATAGCTGAGCTGTGATACCACAGGGAGAGGTCATCATTCCATTACAGTGGTGGTTACTTAAAGGTGTAAATCAGTAGCTTACTAACCGCTCACACTTACAATTAGTAGTCAACGCGAAGAGCTCAGCTCAGCTCACTCCTAAAGCAAGGTAATGGCCTGAGGGGGCGCTACAGTGGTAACAGTAATACTGATTGTTTCGTGGCGGTTTTTGTTTTGTGTGTGTTTTCTCTGTAGTGTCTGTTGTGTGTAGCTCCGCCTCCCGTCCCTTGGTTTCAACTAGGTCCTGTAGAGGAGCATAACAGGCGCGTTCAGCGGAGCAGTGTCTTATTCGTTCTGGAAGCTTCGGGTCGAAGAGGAAGCAGCGGCCATGTCTGGAAGAGGGAAGGGAGGTAAAGGTCTCGGTAAAGGAGGCGCTAAGCGTCACCGCAAAGTGCTCCGCGACAACATCCAGGGCATCACCAAGCCGGCTATCCGCCGTCTGGCTCGCCGTGGCGGCGTCAAGCGTATTTCGGGTCTGATCTACGAGGAGACCCGCGGCGTGCTCAAGGTGTTCCTAGAGAACGTGATCAGGGACGCCGTCACCTACACCGAGCACGCCAAGAGGAAGACCGTCACCGCCATGGATGTGGTTTACGCTCTGAAGCGTCAGGGCCGAACCCTGTACGGCTTCGGAGGTTAAACGATCGACTCGAACAGCGCTAAACCCAACGGCTCTTTTAAGAGCCCCCCACACTCCCACCAGAAGAGCTGCTCTTTATGACTCATTTAATGTTGATGGAAACACCCGCTTGTCTGTTTTTAGTCTATGAAGAGCGTGATGGAGACCTTAATCTACTATCAGAACAGCCATAGAGAGTGATGGAGAGTATTTTATATTTAGGTTGTGCTGCTCTGAGTTACTCTAACAGCGTTTTCTGAAATCGTTTAGTCAGTAAAGTCGTTATTGTTCATCAAGTAACGCAAGTTCGCCTTTTGCAGCAGAAACTGTCAAACACCAGCGCTGTTCTCCAGCAGAACCAGATAAACCCGTTCAAGAGCCCTTAGAAGAAGCTTCTATGCGTTACATGGATCTGTTTAACTCTGAAACACGGAATGAGTATTGGAGAAATAGTTTTTAAATAAAGTTGTTTTCTAAGAGGTGTTTTTTTAAATCAAGACCATCCAACAGCAGTTTGAGAACTAAAATACACAATAAAAACATGATTTATGAAAACTTGTTAAAATGGAAATGTCTGCTTTGGCAGAACTCAAAACCTCTCAAAAGTGTTTTGACACTGTTTTATGAAATAGAACAATAAAAAAAAACGTGCTTATATTTGGACAAATGTGCTGTAGAGGACACACAGTACCAAAGAATGCGCGGGAAGGCGAACAAAGGGAAAGTCTTTAGCGGGGAGGAGGAGAGATGTCCGCCAAGCGAGCCGTTGATTGTTGTCCAATGGCCGTTTGACAGCACTGTGAAGGCGGAGCTTTGTCTGTTTTGAATATGGGAGTGTAGATAAGCCGGTGCTGGGCGCTCCTTCTCATTCTTCAGTTCTACTCGACGCAGAGGAGAACCATGCCTGAACCCGCGAAGTCCGCGCCGAAGAAGGGCTCTAAGAAAGCCGTGACCAAGACGGCTGGCAAAGGAGGCAAGAAGCGCAGAAAGTCCAGGAGGGAGAGCTACGCTATCTACGTGTACAAGGTGCTGAAGCAGGTCCACCCCGACACCGGCATTTCCTCCAAGGCGATGGGCATCATGAACTCGTTCGTCAACGACATCTTCGAGCGCATCGCCGGTGAGTCGTCCCGTTTGGCTCATTACAACAAGCGCTCCACCATCACGTCCAGGGAGATCCAGACCGCCGTGCGCCTGCTTCTTCCCGGTGAGCTGGCCAAGCACGCCGTGTCCGAGGGCACCAAGGCCGTCACCAAGTACACGAGCTCCAAGTAAGAAGTGACGAAGACTTGATCAAACCCAACGGCTCTTTTAAGAGCCACCCACGGTTTCGCTTAAAGAGCTTTTTGTTTTGTTCGTGAGAATGAAAGCGGGATTTTTTGAAGGCGGGGGTGCGGGGAGAAAACGTTACGTAAGGTTTTTTGCGAATTTTCCCGCGCAATTTCTTTGCATATAGTTTGTGTAAGGGGCACTGATAAAATAGTGCGCACACACACAAACATATGTACATATACGTGTGTATATATAGGGTATGTGTGTGTGTGTGTATTTATATATATATATATATATATATATATATATATGGTCTCAAATGTGAGTTTTTTTTTTTCCTTTCAAGAGTGCACGTATGTTTAATGTTTTGTGCAGTTTGTATTGACAATAAAAGCTGTTGACTTGCAATGTTCTTTGTGTGTAAACTGCATTAAAATAAGGGAAAAAAAAACTGACTACTGAATAAACAAATCAAGGCCGTGGTGCACGTTCTGCAGAGTTATGCTGCAGTTAAGTAAGTTTTATCTCCAGCCAGTTCTTAGGCTGGTGAATTCAAAGTATTGTTTCTTAACCCTGCTCAGTGCTTAACTTTGCTATTTATTTATTTATTTATTTATTTTCCCCCACCCCAATAACTTTTCCTTGAAAGTGATTATGAACTGGAGTAAAAATATGTTTAGGGCAAGGCCTTACAGTCATATTGAAGTTAGACTGGGGATAAGTTAGTTTACAGCTAGGCCAGAGATGCATGATGAAATCGGAGTCAGTTAACAAAGAAGTTAAAATGAGTCAAAATAAGTTTGGAGCTAAGCTTTAGACTTTTGATGAAGCTCTAGGAAGAATGAACAGGTACAGGTCGAGACCCCAGGCTTCTGTTGTATGTAGAAAAAATGTGTTCACACAAAAGTGCGTTTATAGCTAGGCTGTAGGCTTGTGATGAATTGTTAAATTGAAAAGTGAGTAAAACTAGGTTTAGGGAAATACCTTAGACTCATGTTAAAGTCAGAGTGAGTGTAAGTGAGTTTACAGCAGGCCTGAGATGTATGATGAAATGGGAGTAAGTAAAAGCAGGTTAGAAGTGAAGCCTTAGCTCTGTGATGTGAAGCCAGGCGTTAGAGTCATGATGTAGTCAGAGTAAGTGAAATTAGTCCTTAGGCCAGTGAAAGTGCCAGTGAGTACAGGTGGGTTAAGAGGTAACTCTTAGGCTATAGCTCATGTTAAAGTAAGCAAAGATAGTTTTACGTTGGTTTATCACTAAGTCTTTGTTTTCTAAAGTAGTCAAAGGAAGTTAAGGTAGCCTCAGGCTAATGATGGCGTTTGTGTGAGAAAGTTATTGGTTATTCAGGCCAATGATGAAGTTAGAGTGAGCAAATGGAGGCTTATAGCTGAGCCTCAGACTTCTACTGTGGTTATAGTGTGTAATAATAGGTGCAGGGCTAAACCTTAGGCTTATTGTGTAGTTAGAGCTCGACCATAAGCACATGATGAGGTTATGAGCTTATGACACTTTTGCTTACTCAAACTTCATTGTAAGCCAAATGTCTTGCTATGTACCTCCTTCCAGTAAGTGAAAGGAGGCTGATGGCTGTGCCTCAGGCTTATAATGTGGTCAAATAAGCAGTAGGTATAGAGTAAGGCCTTTAGCTCATGCTGAAGCTAGAGATAGTGAAAGCAAGTTACTGGCTAGGCCGTAGGCTTATAGTGTAGTGAATGTTAGTAGTTAGGCGTTAGACCACTGATGTAGTTAACATGCGTGAACTGATTTGTGATTATAAGGTAAAAGCAGGTACAGAGCAAACCATTAGACTTTCTATGAAGCTAGAGAAAGCAAAAGGAGCTTTCCAGCTATGCCTCAGGCTTATAGTGTAGATAGAGTAAGTAGCGGTAGGTATAGAGTTAGGCCTTAGGCTTCTGAAGAATTTAGAGTAAGCAAAATGAGCTTTCCAGCTAGGCCTCAGATTTATATTGTAGTCAGAGTAAGTGATGATCGGTTTAGAGCTAAGCTTGTTAATTACGGTGAAGTTAGAGTGAGTAATAGTGAGTTCAGGGCTGGGCTTTAGGCTTAAGATATATTTACATAGCATCAGGAGCTTCACAGCTAGGCATCTGGCATCTGGTGTAATCGAAAAAGTAATTGGTTTACAGCAAAGCCTTATGCTGATGAAAAATTTAGATTGAATAGTCATCCTCTAAGGCCTAACTCTCTAGCTACTGTTAATTACTCTAGCTGTAAGGCAGGATATAGAGCTAGGCCTTTGGTTTATGTTTGTATACGTGAGTGAAAAGACATCTATAGAATGAGAAGTTGGAGAAATGAAAGTATTTAGCCTTCCAGCTGGGCCTTTGGCTCATAATGCAGATAAAGTAAATAATATTAGGTTTAGTGATAAAGTTTATGGCGAAGTTGGAGAATGTTAAGGTTGGTTTAGGACAAGGTCTTAGGCTTATGATGAAGTCTGAGTAAACAAAAGGAAGCTTCCAGCAAGGCCTCAGGCTTATACCGTAGTTGGAGTGTATGTAAGAATAGATTTAGAGCTAGACCCCGGGCTTATGATGAAGTTAGATAAAGCAGTAGTAGATATGGGACTTGACTTCAAGCTTTGGAAGTGTTTACATTGAGCATATGTTTACTCAAATCCAGGCCCCAGGCTTACGATGAGGTCAAAGTAAAAGCAGGTTATTAGTAAGTTTCTAGTTACAGTAGGCCCTGTGCCTTAATTGGAGTAAAATAAATAGCGATGGTGTCAGTGCAAGGCCTCAGGTTCATGAAGAAGTTAGAGTAAAGCACAAACCTAAGATCCAGCTCTACAGCTCCTGTTTCTTACTCTATGTATATTTTAAATCTTAGGCTTTGGATGAAGCTAGTCTAAGCAAACGTGACCTTTCAGCTTGGCCCCAGACTTATCATATAAATAGAATATAGACCTTTGTTTTATGAAGAAATTAAAGATTGTAAAAGTCAGTGTAGGGAAAGGTCTTCAGCTTCTGACCAGGTAAGAATGAGCAATATGAGCTTTCCTGTTAGGCCTCAGGCTTATAATGTAGGGTTAGAGCTGGGCCCTAGGGCTGTGGTAAAGTTAGAGCGAGAAACTATAGTGCTACAATTAATGAATGTCAAAGTGAGCTTAGGGCAGGGCCTTAGGTTTGTGACTGAGTAAGAATGAGTGAAAATGAGTGAAGTGTGATCTGAAGCATTCCATTAGACTTGTGGTGAAGTTGGAGAAGCACAGAGCAAAGCTTTAGCTCATGTTGTAATTAGAGCAGGCCCAAACCAGCCGTACAGCTTAAAGTAAGGGATATCAGAGTTAGAGCTCGGCCTTGGGTTTATGGTGAAGTTAGATAAAGTGAAAGTAGATTTCGGCTAAAACCTTTGACTTTTGCTGAGGTCATAGTAAGCAAAAGCATGTCTACAGTTAAGCCTTGAACCTATAATAGGATTTGGGCAAGACTTCATTTTCTAGTAGGGTTAGAAGGGGGTTAGTTATGTTGAAGTTCGGGTGAAGCTAATTAGGGTTAGAACGAGGTTGTGATTATTGCTAAGTCAAAGTTTATTTATATAACAGCACATCAGCAGAGAGCAGCTCTGCCCCCAGCGGCGGCCGGCTTACGCGTGTGCTTTACTCGCTTAAAGAAAGCTCATTTTAGCCGTAATTAACGGGGCGCTCGGCCAGTGGGAGTTCACTCACGCCCTCGCCGAGACTCTCCTCGAACGCACCGTTGAGCTCTCCGAAGGCTCGCACCGCCGTTTGCCACCGTTTATCACAGATTATTGAGCTAAATACGCCGCATCTCGTTTAAAGCGGGTGGCGCGCGGCACCATTTCGAGCGCGCCCTGAGAAACGAGGCGTCGCTGCGCGCTCAATCCCGGACTGAGGAAACACGGCAGAGTCTTTTCTGGAGGATCGAACCGTTTGACGGTCGCCAAGCGGCGCTTTCGCTCTTATTTTGCCCGATAAACGCTACAAGAAAACACAAGAGCGCGTCACTGAGGCACGGCTGCACAGCGCCCGCCGGGTTGAGTCTACACCGTTCTCATGTGGCTTTTAAGGGGCCGGCCCGTCGCCGGAGAGGGAGGTTCCTCTGAACAGTGCAGCTCCGCTCGCAGCAAAAGCAGAACGATGGCAGAAACCGCTCCCGCTCCAGCCGCCGCCGCGCCGGCCAAAGCTCCCAAGAAGAAAAGCGCCGCCCGGCCCAAGAAAGCCGGGCCCAGCGTCGGCGAGCTCATCGTCAAGGCTGTTTCTCAGTCTAAGGAGAGGAGCGGCGTGTCTCTCGCCGCCCTCAAGAAAGCTCTGGCCGCCGGCGGCTACGACGTGGACAAGAACAACTCCCGCGTCAAGATCGCCGTCAAGAGCCTCGTGACGAAGGGCACTCTGGTGCAGACCAAAGGCACCGGCGCGTCGGGCTCCTTCAAGCTCAACAAGAAACAAGCCGAGCCCGAGAAGAAGCCGGCAAAGAAAGCGGCGCCCAAAGCCAAGAAGGCGGCCGCCAAAAAGCCCGCCGCTGCTAAGAAGCCCGCGGCCGCTAAGAAATCGCCGAAGAAAGCCAAAAAACCGGCGGCGGCCAAGAAAGTCGCCAAGTCTCCCAAGAAAGCTAAGAAGCCCGCGGCCCCGAAGAAGGCGGCCAAGAGCCCGAAGAAAGCGAAGGCGGTCAAGCCCAAAGCAGCCAAGCCCAAGGCGGCGAAAAAGGCCGCCCCCAAAAAGAAGTAGACGCGCCGTTTTACCTTCCTGTCCTGTTTTCTCCGCTCAAAAACGGCTCTTTTAAGAGCCACACCCACATTTTCCTCTCAAAGAGCTCGGTTTTCATTTTCCCTACACAAAGTCTTAATTACTGAATAATCATATTATAAGAAAATACCAGACTCGACACAATAATCGAGCTGCCACATGGATGAGAATTGGGGGGGTATAGCGGAAAACAAGGACGCGTATACGTTTCGCGTATATGTCTCACACACAGGCGGCAACACGGAGGGGAGGGGGAGAAGCGGGGTCAGTGGAAGAGAACGGTGGGCGGGACCTAGAGTTTGACGGCGATAATACGATTGGTTGTTGCATTTCAGCCAATAGAAACGCAGCTGCTTTAGCTATAAGAAGCGCGCTCGGACACCGGGACTCATTATTTTAGGTTAGTTTGGTGAAGTTGAGTGAAGTGCAAAATGAGTGGAAGAGGTAAAACTGGCGGGAAGGCTAGAGCCAAGGCTAAGACTCGCTCCTCCCGCGCCGGGCTGCAGTTCCCTGTGGGCCGTGTTCACAGGCTTCTTCGTAAAGGTAATTATGCCGAGCGCGTCGGCGCTGGTGCTCCCGTCTACTTGGCCGCTGTGCTAGAATATCTTACCGCTGAGATCCTCGAGTTGGCCGGAAACGCCGCTCGCGACAACAAGAAGACTCGTATCATTCCTCGTCACCTGCAGCTGGCCGTTCGTAACGACGAGGAGCTCAACAAACTGCTCGGAGGAGTCACCATCGCTCAGGGTGGCGTTCTGCCCAACATTCAGGCCGTCCTGTTGCCCAAGAAGACCGAGAAGGCGGCCAAGACCAAGTAAACTGGTTTTCTCAGATTTTTCTGTCACCAAAGGCTCTTTTAAGAGCCGCCCACCTCCGCGACGAAAGTGCAGTTTTTCTTTGTCAATCAGCCGCTCCACCCCAAAATAAAAAGCCGCCTGTCAGTCTAGGATTACTGTTTACATGGGCGTGAAACAAGACCCATCACCCCCTCCTCCCCCGACTGCATACTGAATATTTAGAAGCTCTTTCTACTCAAACACTTAAAGCAAACACACACAAGCGTCTATATAAAGCCGCCAGTTCAGATGGAGTAAAGCGTTAGAATTACGCATAAGGTATAAAAAAAATAATGTCGAATTTCCAATTAAAAGCTCTACATATTACAAAAACAGGGCTGTGGTACAGGAGCCACCACGGCGTTCGGGCAAAGTCTCGTTTTTCCAAAATTTTGGCGCGAAAGAAGACGCCCAATAACGCTTGGCCGGTGCGTGGACGACTGTCCAATGGGAGGCGGGCACATTCAAAACGCCCAATGAGAGGCGAGCAGCTGCAGCGCTTAAAAGAGCCGTGATGTGTGCGCGAGCTTATTCTCCTTCTTTCTCCCCGAGGAGAACAGATTGTGACGTTATGGCAAGAACCAAGCAGACCGCCCGTAAGTCCACTGGTGGTAAAGCACCGAGGAAGCAGCTGGCTACCAAGGCTGCTCGTAAGAGCGCTCCGGCCACCGGCGGCGTCAAGAAGCCTCACCGTTACAGGCCCGGTACCGTGGCTCTCAGGGAGATCCGTCGCTACCAGAAATCCACAGAGCTGCTCATCCGCAAGCTGCCCTTCCAGCGCCTGGTGCGGGAGATCGCTCAGGATTTCAAGACCGATCTCCGCTTCCAGAGCTCCGCCGTCATGGCCCTGCAGGAGGCTAGCGAGGCGTACTTGGTGGGTCTGTTCGAGGACACTAATCTGTGCGCCATCCACGCCAAGAGAGTCACCATCATGCCTAAGGACATCCAGCTGGCCCGCCGGATCCGCGGAGAGCGCGCTTAGATTAAACGGAGCGACCACAAGTTACTCAAACACCCCAAAGGCTCTTTTAAGAGCCGCCGAACTGTTTCAGTCCAAAAGAGCGAGTTTTCTAGCGAACTCGGGTTCTTTTGTGTTGTGACGTAGTAACAGATCTCGAAGGGGAGCCCGCGAGCTTCTCTCTGCGGAGTCGTGAGGAGCTGCTTAGTTCCAGCTCAGATGTTCATCCCGTGTTTGATCAGAGTCCGTAGTGCAGTGAGGAGTTTCGAGTCTTACAGAAAGAGATGAGAATGAACTCGTTAGTACTTCATCACGGAAATGAGCGGCTGGAGAATCAGAAGTGCAGTACAGGCGAGTAGTGTGAGCGCGTGACTAGCGCTACGAACATCGCGTACATAGTAAATATGTAGGGCTGCGTTAGTGGAGTAAGAGTTAAGCGAGAAAATCACCCTGTGAGTGTGTGTGCGCGCGGAAGAAAATAATAAAGAAACACGACTAATAAAATCACCACAAATGACCAAAATGAACCAAAGTGGTGGAAAGTCCAGTCTCCTCTGCAAAGGGCCAGGATTTCATTTCATAAATGTGCGGTGGTGTGTGTGTGTGTGTGTGTGGCTGTGTGTGTGTGAGAGTGTGTGTGTGTGTGTGTGTGGGTGTGTTTGAGTGTGGGTGTGTTTGAGTGTGTGTGTGTGTGTGTGTGTGTGTGTGTGTGTGTGTGGCTGTGTGTGTGTGTGAGTGTGTGTGTGTGTGTGTGTGTGGTGTGTGTGTGTGTGTGTGTGTGGCTGTGTGTGTGTGAGAGTGTGTGTGTGTGTGTGTGGATGTGTTTGAGTGTGGGTGTGTTTGAGTGTGTGTGTGTGTGTGTGTGGGTGTGTTTGAGTGTGGGTGTGTTTGAGTGTGTGTGTGTGTGTGTGAGTGTGTGTGTGTGCGTGTGTGTGTGTGTGTGTGTGTGGTGTGTGTGTGTGTGTGTGTGTGTGAGTGTGTGTATGTGTGTGTGTGTGGTGTGTGTGTGTGTGGCTGTGTGTGTGAGTGTGTGTGTGTGTGTCTGTGAGTGTGTGTGGCTGTGTGAGTGTGTGTGTGTGTGTGTGTGTGTGTGTGTGAGTGTGTGTGTGTGTGTGTGTGTGTGTGTGTGTGTTTCAGAATATTGTTACTTTTTATATTCTAGCAGAATTTTAGAAAACTTACCCCGTAACGTAAATCAAAAACTTTCAGTCTTTGATCTGTAAATCCTTCTTTATTAACTGTATTAAATCAGTGCATGGTGTGTATCAGACATGCTGAGTAGACTGATAAATCTGATGATCTCGTTATTTATCTCAGTGTTTCTGAGCTCTTTTGTGGGACGATTGAACAGAACAGTCCCCTCAGTTGTGGACATGAGTGACACGGGTGATAAGCGGAGAATCAAGTGTTGTACTTATGTACTGGTGTGTGTTGCATGGAATGGTTTTACATATATGATATACATGACATTAACTGAAAAAGATCCAGCTACTCTACAGGCAAATGTAGAAGATATGAGGAACTGTTAATCATTTTAATTTAATTGTAATTTTCTACTGACTTTAGCAAAAGTGAGACACTCAGCGTTTGACAGTCGCCCTGTCAAAATTATACTGAAGCTGCGATAAATTGATTTTTAGCACTGTCCCACTTTCTGTCTCAGTATAGTGGTTAAAGTGGGCTGAGTGACCATGGGAACATCAATGGACTGAAAAAGAACAGAAATGATGAGAACTGAGTTAATTCAAGTTAATTCAGTTTATAAGTGATTATTATGAAGCTCATGAAGAGAAGAATTCAGTGAAGAAAACTACCAACCAGTCACAGCAGGAAGAATGTAAAGTGAGTAAAAAGGACAAAAGCAGAGTTTTTCCATGTTCCTTATCAAGATGTTTCTAACTGTGTTCTGAATGTGTTTTTATGTGCTGGAACTGAATCTGTTACTGAGCACATTTAGAAAAGTGTGTTCAGTTTTCAGCCATCACTACTTTTACAAAGTACTCAAAGTGTGAAAGTCTCTTATTCCTGTTCAGCTCATCCATCTGTTACTGCAGCTCCAGCCTGCAGCTCTATCAGTTTCCCTCAGCTGCTCCAACACAGCCCACACTGAGAGTCCATCACACAGCTCACGTTCAGCTCACAACCAGCTCACTTCCACACCTTCACTGTGTCCATCATTTCAGCAGTGCTGGACGAAGTACACAAACCACGTACCTGAGTTAAAGTAGAGATACCCAAGGTAAAATATTACTCCAGTAAAAGTAGAAGCTCCTCCCTTTAGAGCTCCACTTGTGTAAAAGTACACAAGTATTTTCCCTCAAATGTACTTAAGTATCGAAAGTGAAAGATTAAAAGATTAATTATGACTCTAATTGTAGGGGTTCAGCCGGCCCTGCCTGCTGCCAGCAGAGGGCGATGGCGGCACGGGACCATAACTTCAGGGAACTCCAATTCCCAGAAGCCCGCGGGCTGATTAGGCCCAACTCGACACAGCTGCGGACTCCTCTACTTAAGGCCCTGGCAAACAGTAGCGTTTGTCACACCTTTGTAGAGGGGTGACCGGTACGGTACTTAGTGTCAGGAAAGAAAAATAAATAAATAAATAAAATAAAAATTGCTACAATGAATCAAACTGACCCAAAGCTACTTGAAGCCAAAAAAAGGTTCTTCAGCTACAAACGACTCCAAGAAATAGAAAAGGTGTTTACCAGCAAACATTCCACGTCAGAAAGACGTTCAAATCATGTCTGTATCACGTCGGTTAGTCCAGACCCACTTTTGCACATCTGGTGGACGTACAAATCAGATTCAATATCTCACCGTCTGACTAGGACCTCAACTGGACGTCTCTTGGATGTAAATGTTCAAAATGGGTCATATATGGTCATTTGACTTGGAGACCTTTTGGACGTCAGTGGAAGTGCAGGACTGGTTTCGTATTTCTGGATGTCTAACCAGGAGCCCTTCTGGACGTCTATAGACGAGCAAGACAGGTTCAATAACTGAACCGATCTGGCTCATTTGCCATTGTGACATTAAACTTTTTTGACAAATAGTCATGGGAAACACCCATTACAAAAATAATAAAAATAATTACATTATGAAAAAATCAATAATTAAATGCAGTGGTGTGAAAAATAATCTTCACATATTTGGACAAGTAAACATTTGATCCTGTTTGAAACTCTTCCTATTAATGAAGATGAATTAATGAGTGAAGGTGACTCAAACAATGACGAAGGTGACATTTTATAACTGTTTACATAGTTTAAATAATTAGAACTCAATTAAAATAAAAAAAAATCCAAACTACACTGAATCCTTGTGTTAAATACAATTCAGTTATACGACTGAAAAAGCAGCAAAAGGGATTGTTATGTTTTCATGTCCATAACTTCGCTTGTGAAAACAAGGATTCAGATTTGAGGATCACTAGAGGACATGTTTATAATTCACTCTAAACACTGTCAGAATTGTGGGTAGAACAGCTGCGTGTGTGAGATTATGTGCTGAATAAATCAGCATTGTTTTTCAGCGTCCCTATTAAGTTCAAATCATAGATGTTAATTGTTTTTTTTATTATTTTTTAATTTTTATTCCAACGGTTTACAGTTATATCTGCTTCTGTCTGTCAGCATCAGACAAATGCAGCCTGTGAAAATGATTTAATTCCAGTTCATTTCCGTGGAAAGTTCCCACCTTTCCTGAACGTTTGCAGTCCTTCCCCATTTAACTCTGCATCATATATTTGATTACACTCTCTTTAACAGCACATCTGTTCCTCCATGATCATTCTCGCGCTGACCTGTTTCAGCGGTCACTCAGTAATCATGCACTCACCGCCCAATCAGAAGCAGAGAAGCGGGATGACCACGCCCCTTTTTCCGACGGTGAAGAGCGCAGAGCAGAGCGCGAGGAGAGCGGCAGGGAAGGTAAAGCTGAGTCTGCTCTGCTCCTATTATGGTTTATGCTGTTTGTTCTGTGGAGCTCCAGAATGTTGTTCGTGTAACGCAGGAGGTTAAAGTAGCTGGATATCTCGCTCCTTCTGGACTTTTCAGTTCAGGACTTTGGTTTGTCCTGCAGCATAAGATGACTGTACGGGTTTTAGTGTGGTGTCTTTTATTAGCCCGCGTCTTTAGACGGCCTTCAGCCCAGTAACAGTGACCATACTGTACATCACTGCCATAATAAAGATACTGAGGCCTAAAATAGCTCAGAGTTAATGTTAGCTAGTAACGTTAGCAGGAGCGGCGGCTTTTTGAAGATGAAGCGCGGACATTGTGCGCGCGCGTGTGACTGACCGGGTCCACAGTTACACTGTTGGCCTTTCTGCTAACGGTGAACTGAAAAAATACCACCCGGAACATTTCAGCCGGCTGTAACGGTAGAACGGCGTCAGAAGGAGATATGACGTCATCAACGAGACAGAAGCCTGATTTTTCCAGACCGCCATCGGCCGCACAGCGTTTCCAAACAGCTCGAGCGTTCCTCTTCTCCTGGAGCCCACCGCTGCCAGAGAGACCCCCATGTTAGAACGAAGCGCAGCAACTTCTCATTCACCAGCTTGTTCCATTTTCCCGTTCCACCTTAAATCCGAGTTTCTCAATCCGGGTCCTGAAGGCGCCGTGCTTTGAGAAACACTGCAGAAAGTGACTTAACTGCTGCACCATTTAAGGTGGAGCGGGAAAATTCGAACAAGAAGCGGGCAAAGACGTCGACTGAAGTCTCATCATGTTAGACGTCTTAATATTGTTTCCCTAAAAGACCACAGAGCCACAAAATGACCCCGAGCCCGTCCAGCGTGTTAGCAGCGTTTAATACAGAGCTCCTGTACTTCGCTGTGGATGTTTTGCTTCACTGAGTCCGTTTCTGCTGAAATGGCCTGTTAAGCGAGCATCAAGCTAACCTCGGTTCATTTGAACTGGTTTTCCGTTTCGCTGGCTGGG